GTCTATTATAGCACAAAATACAAAAAAAGTAACCTTCTACCTCAGCCACCGAATTTGCAAAGTGACTCCTCTCCTGTCTCTCGGTTACCCTGTATTCGCAAAAATGACTTTTTACTTTTTCCCTTCCCTTTTCTCAATTATCATTTCCATGAGTTTTTTGGTTACACCCCTGGTGTATAAGAGCACGACCATTTGGACAGAGGTCATGCTCTTATTCGCTAAATTTATTGTTACTTCTTTAGAAAGGTAGCTAACAAATTTGAATGGAGACTAACCTTGAGGTCTTTTAGTCCTCGCCAGGGCAAAGAGCCATGCAGAAATTCGCAGAACATGTACAGACAGGAGATGATGTCATCCTTCGGAAATTGTTCCATGTATTTGTGCGCCGATAACGAACTACAATTTTTAAACTACAAATAATGCAATTGGATCTGGTTCATCCTGTACGTTCATGGAACAAGAAAAGTGGCTTGACAATACCGATTTGAAGAGATATTTACGTCAAACTATACCTAACCTCGTTTTCTTTTGCAATAAAGATATTGATGATGGTACAAATAAAGTAAGAACAAACTTGCATAATTTGTGTGAGGGGTTAATTAGTAAGTCCAGTAAAACCGAAAATAAATGAAACTAACCAATATTTGTAGGTTCCAGCAAAAGTAGCCACCCTCCTGGGCGGCTTATTGACGTCTTTGTATTTTCGGGCTAGCGTAAGATCGATGACGCATATTTGGTCACACAGGTCTTTCATCTTCGAAAATGTTGCAAGACGAATCGCAAAATTATAGGGTGCCACGCATCGATGCACATATCCCACTCGGTGTACCAAGCGCAAAGCCTAAAATGTGCACAGTTTTTGTTACGTTCTTTAGGGCATAATATGACATTCCCGCTCAAAATATAGTAAAATATGCAGAATTTTTATGCCTGAAGGCACTATAAAGAACAACTACTGCTGATGATAACTTGTTACACGAATTTAACTCGTTACACGGACGCCTAGGATGCTCCGTGATGTACTACTGATTTCCTGGAGGATATGGTCATCTTTTTCTTTACTGTCCGATTTAGCACGTTCAGTATCTCATTGCAGTATCTCGGTTTTTTTGTACAACAAACCTTAATGCAACCAATAATAAAGTCTCGAGCGGTGCCAATATCGAGAACGCCAAATTGAGTCATTCGAAGCATCTCTTCAAGCGTCGGCTCAATCTTTTCTTGCAAGAAATACGGACGTGGATTAGGATTCGGGAAGTAAATAAACAGCTTTGCTGATCGTTCACCTTCTTCTGGCCTCTGAAATGAAGGTGTACCATACAGAAAATGCATTCAAAGTCAAAACCTTTCTGCATCCACTTTTTACTGAAAGCGAAAAAGCCTACTGGCAATTTCAGCGATTAGTCTACTGGCGATTCTGGTGGTTAGTCTCCTGGTGATGTTAATATTAAAAATTAATTATGTGCAAATTTAAAAAAGCACTTCTCTGTAGCAAAGCTCTTTGAATGCACCGCACCCGAGAGTTGCCGGGAAGTACTTCCGTTGCCTGAAAATGATTCAAATACGTTGAAAAATTGATACCGAAGACAGCAAAAAATGAAGCGCTATTCCAAAACTCATGCCCTGAGAGGCCCACAGCAGCAAATCTAAAATTTCAAACTTCAGTGCAGTGGAAGAAGTGAAAACGAGTTCCATCTGAATAAAACCGAATGTCGTCGGTGAAAATTTCAAGTGTCTCGTCGTCGACACAAAATCCTTTTGCTTTTTCATTTTCCGTGGGGAGGTCTTAAACGAGCTAGGAAGAATCTTTCAGGGAACAAATATTACCTTGCTTCACGCCTCTGCCAAATCTTATTTCCTATGCACCCCTCAAAAAAAAATATCTAGCGGTAACAGTTTCGTACTTCATTGTACCTTAAGTAGTACCTCCTACTAGGTAAAAACTCATCGCTAGCTGAGAGTGGCAAAATTCGGAACAAATGGTGATGCTCAACATATACCAAAGAAATGTGGAAACGGATATAGCTTTACCAAGTGCTTCTGTCAAAAGACGTAAAGTTGGAATTCTATTAGAGGACAAAACTTCTACCCTTTCTTGTCACGCGTTACGATTGTTATGGACAAATCGAAATAGAAAATTGGCAAGCTGCAACAGTGATGAGAAGAAACGCGACGATGAAACAACAGTTGTACAAAACACACCGATGTTTTGCACAGCTGGTGTTTCATCGCTGTGTTACTTCTTACCACTGATGCAGCTGGCAACTTCACTATTCTCTTCTATTTTGAGTCTCTCTCATTCACATAATTTCATATAGCTGTTCAAAGGATCTTCCAGTGCACTGGTGGCCTTCTCTGTGTTCTTTTAACACTGCATGGTACTACTAAATGTTTTTTGAAATGTTATCAGCTGAGTTTTATTATTAAAATATTGAGAGAAGACAAGGATAGTCTAAATATTTTGTACAAAGAATACGTGTGTTAAGAAGCAGTCTATTTCGTCTCTTAGCTGTAAGCACCGACCGTACACAGCGCGTAAGAGTGCGGGGACGAGTTATCACTAGTGTCAGTCTCCCAGTGCTTGCTGTTCAATCACCCTCCTATAGAAGTAGTAATGGAGATCTCCGAGTTTCACTGGTGAAGAGCTATCGTATCTATTTTTTTATAGCATAAGTACCGGTAATTCTGGAATCGCCGCTTAAGTAGAAGTAACAATTTGTACTGTTGCATGAAAAGCACATGATCTCTGGAGTTGTCCGAATTGCTTAGCTTCATGATGTGGTCGTTTTTTTCCATTGTCATCACCTGAAACATCAGTGCTTTTGCAATTTGTGTGGTGAGACTGAAATTCAGCCAAACGATTCTTTGGGCCAGACTCATGCGCGGAAAAGAGAAGCACAATGAAAAATTAAATTATGCGCATGATTAATTCTCTCTCCTTACCTCTCAGCGCTTATTTTACTTTTACTTTCTTGACCTTTACTACTCACACTAATCTACTGATGATAATATTACACACAGTTGGAAATCCATTTAGGTGATATCTGGATCGTCAGCCGTCTGATCACTGGGCAATGCAGCATTATTTGATAGCTGCGCAGTTGAAAGGGCCAGTCTGCGGTTCGCGGCTAATCAAAGCAAGCTTTAATAATTTTGGCGCCCCTAGAAAACAAAAAAAGGGAGTTGTTTCTCTTCCGCCACCATTTTGGATACAGTAGTGCTCAATGATGAAACGTACAGGAAGTGTGCAAAAAAAGCATACTTCAGGGAACGGCGCACAGTTCGGGGAGACATTTACATTACAGTGCCGTATCACGTCGTACTCGATGCTGGCAAGATTGGTGCGCGTGGGGCGCATTCCGATGACACGCCAATCACCGTTATCGTCACGGTTGTAAAATTCACCAGCAAGTCTCGACTGATCAATCCGCAGCTTGGGTCCCTGCAAAACGAAAAGTTTTGCCATGCGATTTACAAGCTGCACATAATTTTACCACATCGAATTGTAAGGACACAAAGCATTCAGGAATGCCTTTTGGCTTCAGCCTAAAAAGCGTAAAACTGAAAGCTGTCGGTAAAGACTAAGAGGATGCAACAAAAAATTAACACATTAAGCGATCAAAATTTATTTAAAAAGCTTTGAAAGATTGGCCGTGCCATGAATGCGCCTTACCAATTGTGCCACGATTAAAAAACATGCACCAGATTGATTCCTCAGCAATTTAAGGCTAAATCCCGGAAAATTTTTAGTTGTTAATCAAGGAAATGATTGTCAAAAAGTGTTTATTCAATTAGGCAGTTCATAGATTCAGGTTTAAGGAGTAGCTTGAATTGCTGTTTTGAATAACGTGCGTGGGAGAGGTCTAAAGTAGAAAGAACGGAGAATTTGCCAGCTGTATCAGTGACGCGAAGAAACGCCACTTGTGATGTAACAGCTAATCTAATTTCTAGCATTTTAAGCAAGTATGGAGCAAGGTAAATAAGGCAGGCAGGTTTACCCGTTTCATCTGGCTCAGTAAATTCCACTGTCTCTTTGGCAAGTCGATCATCTTCTGAAAGAGACCATCCGTCATCTTCTGCACTTCCGCCGTATCCATGAGGTCCTGCACTTTCTGCTTTATTATCTAAAGCATTTTGCGGGATATTTTACAAATTTAGGATTTTCGAAGAAATTTTTATGAAGCAACCAGCGGAAAGGCTCAGTGCCGATATGAAATTATATGAAATACTGTGAGATGCGAAGAGTGGTTACTCTCGCGAAAGAGTGGTTGCCCCCTTTCTGTACTCTTGGGTTATTACAGCCCTTATTATCAGTTGCTGTCTAGCATATATGATCATTTATGGATATATAATGCATGATTAAAAACAGCTTGTCAGTCCTAGGCAAAAGTTATTTTTTGCAGTGATTTCCCCAGTTCTCCTTTTCAACAGTCCGCCTCTGGTCTTTTTTGCGAATTCATTTTTCGTTTTGAGAAAACAAATGGCCCTAAATGAGCCCCAGTAATATCTTTGACAAGGGATATCTGTATTAACTGTCCGAGGAGAAGAATTTAGGTATTTTTGATTTTGTCTCCGTAAAAGTTTGAAAAATCCGCCGCTGAAAAGGCAACAACCAGTGTAAAGGGGTACACTTTTCAAGGAAAAAGTCGGGCGGTCATTTTTCGATCCTAGACACTATGGCCGAGACCGAAGGTAAGCTATTAATCCAGCAAATTGCTCGGAGCCTCGGACCAACCCGACGCCATGTTTTGTAATGACTGATGTATTGCTCGATGATGCCGTTGCTAACAATCCCGACCGGGGGTTCTTTGGTAGAGAAACAAAGAAGCATCTCTCGCCTTTCCAATAAAAATGCTGGGAAACTGCATCCGGACTCATACAGATCGTTGCTGACCACGGTCAGCAGCATCATGCGAAGGCTTCTCACCAAAGTTTGTACTTTCCCAGGTGCTGATAATTCAATTATGTTTTTACCAATTATGTATTCCAATACATTCCAGTTCCCAGCTTGCTTGTAAGCAGTCTTTGAATAGGGAACACATTGACTAGTGGGTATTTGTTGTTGACATTTGCTACCATTCGAGATACTTCCCGAGCGCTTTCCCCTATCATACCGGGTCATTTCGAAAGAGTTTTGACTTTTCTGACGTTGATTTTCAGCTGCGGCGAGAAGATCCTAATTGGAAAGCACTGCACTGTGGCCCAGAAATAGCAACATTCGTGACGAAACTGTAGTAAAGACATTGGTGATGATATATTTGAAAAAAAAGATAAAATATTTGAAAATATTTTAAAAAACACATTAGAAAATCCCATGAACAGAAATGTTTTGGTCCATTAAGTTATATAATTTCTTATTCAGCAGCAAAGCTTGACCTCATGACTACGACATTTGTAATGTTGATACGGGTATAAAGAGTGCAGCACACACCAAAGACATCCCGCAACAGTTAAGCCCTTGCCAAGATATTTCTAATCGGGACGAGATGTCTTCCTGATCTTGGAATTCTGACATGTTTAGAGCAGGAAGTCCTTGTGATTTCGGAAATCAAACACTCAGATTTTCAATAAACCTTGTCATCGATTTTTACTATGTTTTGCTCCGTTTTTTCTTTGCTTTCCAGCTTAATCTTCACTCGCTGTGAAAACGAGTCCGCTTGTTCTTCGTTTGGCTTTACGCTCTGTTGCTGGAGCTTTTCCTGACCTTTTTCCGTCATCACTTTATGTATTGCTTTTGAAATGAGCTCCTAATTCGACCCTCCTTCTTCGCGCTGTAGAAATGAAAAATCCGGTATTAACAAAGAAATTTTCGGCGATCCAGATGATCCCGACAAGCAAGAAACGACCGCTTGCTAATTTCCAAAGGAACGATTTGATCCTCTTCTTAGCTAGTGATACTTTTTATAGTGTTGTGCAAGAATTTTGATTGATCGCAGTGTCAGAACCGATTCATTCAGGAAATTAACGGAATTTACAAGTATAAATTTAGCTTAACTATTGGTTCACCGCCACCACACTGCTTCAACCACAGTGTCGCTCTTTGTAGTATTGCATTACACTTTGGTCAGTTACAATTCATAGTGATACAGCTGGCAACTTCTCCATTTGCTTTGACCAATGTTGCATCGCTTAGTGGCCAGCCTGTTGGTCATTCTAGTTCGAAAAGGAGCACAGAATTCAAAGTTCTTTGGCGGTGGATGATTGCTGTTGGCGAAGTTTTACTCCACGCGGTTATTTTTCAATCACTCCTCTTTCTGAGAAAAGCGAAATGGGGGAAAAAGAAGCGATTTTTGATTTCCAACATTTTGTGTTTGTTTTTATTTTTTCGATAGAACATGCTATATATGATAACCATTCACCACCAGTTCGGATGATTTTTTGCTGTTATTTTTATTAGAGCAGCGTAAAAAACACTAGCAATCTGATTACAAAACAATGCAGTATTGGTCAAAGTAGCTGAAATCTGTCAGCAATGTAGTTGGATAACCGCGCTTTGTGAAATGATACAGCCGAAGATGTTTTTTTGCAGTTACGGCTAGGCTCAGCAGTATTACTACAGAGGAAAAAATATGAAATTCAGTGGAGCGGAACGTCCTTATCCTAGCTGTTTCTAATATATATGTGTGCTTGTACATTTTGTTTTATATTTTCATTTAACTGTAACTACTTTGTGTTAGTGTAACGGCAAATTGTACTTTTTTTTAGTAAAACATTGGGACCTGTCTACAACAGCGTCCCTGGAAAAAGTGCTTCTACATGACTCCAAAGTTGCAGATATTGGATAAGTGCGCGAGAAGAAAGGAAAGTAGGGTTAAGACAGGTCGGAGATGAGGGAAGGACGGGCATGCCGGAGGGGGCAGCAGAGGGGCAAGAAACTTCCTGGGGCATGTATAACAACAACCATCTGTATTTACCCAATGGTTTCTTTCTGTACTTTCCTTACCAACCCCTTAACAGGCGTTCTTTTTTTTCTCATCATTCAGTGACCTCTTTTCGAAGAGAGAATCTAAACGCCTTATCAGATGACCATCGTCCACCCGTCCAACTAGCCTCTTCGTTAACCTGTTTTCCGTATCTAAGCCGCAGTACTTTCTCTTTGCCATTGTCAGTTCTCGTCCCATAACTACTCACACACAATTCCGGCATCGCTTTGGGAAGGCATTCTAGACAATTCAGACATTCCACTACAGGATATCCAGTGACCGAATAACCTGTAAGGTTAAAAAGGAAGCAGTCCTGGACTACCGCAAGAAGACAAGCTGAGGGAATGAGCTCATGTTGAGAGGGTGGCACAGTAGGAAGTTATAACATTTATGAAAGCATTTCAGAAACTGCCGGCGGGCACGACGCTGTACGAAGTTAGCTCCGTTGTTGTGCAGTAGTCCGGCGGTTCGTCGCCACCTGTCCTTCTACGAATCGTTCATTCGATTCGATAGTATTTGGTACTTGGTGTATACCAAGGAATCAAACCCGCCGTCTGCTTGCTTGTAAGCAACTCACGAAAGAGGGGGATGTCAATAGCACTGTCAGACGGCAATTCCTGTTGGCATTCGCTATCACTCGGATTACTTTCCGGATGCCTCCGTCCCTCGTAGAGAACAAATACGTTTTGATTTTCCATTCAGAAACCACTGGTGAGCTAGTAGCCGTTTCAAGTGTCAAGTAAATAGGAGTAATTATACAGAAATTACTAAGAATCATCCGCAGTTGTGGGACTCCCTGTAGTCTGTACTTGTTTTTCTTTATTTGCAGTCCCTTTTTGACAGTGGTCCGAATCCTGTAGCACCACTTTTCCCTTTCTGGCACTCATTTCCCCCCTGACCTCACTTTCGTCCAATATCTTTACATCATTCTTCCCCCACTCCGTGCCTTCCTTTCATTGCCCAACCTCCATCCCGGCAACGACACCTGTTCAATCATTGCCATCGGCAGCGATCCATCAACCCTCCGAGCATTAAGGAACGGGTTCTTGCTGCTCCACATCCAGCAATAACGTTTGCTGTGCATTACAGCTGCACAAACCACACTGCCGTCGAGAGAAGTCCTTTCGTCGAATCCCGGGAAAGTTGCTCTGAAACGGAACTGAAGCTACGCCGAACTGCTCGACGACAATGAGTGCCGATGGAAGCGCAGTTGAGGTTTGTTAAATGATCTTTGTTGATAAGCGTCTAGGATGCGGGATATTGTCGTACCCAGTGGAAGAACACTGATTTTGATAAGAACAAGAGCTGCTAAGGCTGAGCATTGTAGGCTGCATATTCATCCTTTCTCCTAAAATTTTCTTTTAACCTTCTAATATTTTTATACTTCATATCATCATTTGTTGGTGTGCATGTCGTACTGACAAGGTCCAGTTGTGGTACTGATTTGGAATGTATATGACTTATTGGACCGAACACATTCCAATTCAGCATCGCTTTATTCAGTTTCTATTTATTGCTATAATTTATTTAACTGTAATTTATTAAACCATAAATTAAACCGTATTCCTATCTAGTAGTTATGCTATTCGGATTACATTTGCAACAACAGCGTACAAACACGTTGTAGACATGACAACTTCGGGTATGCAGAGTAAGAAGGGAGCGCTTTGTATAAAAAACTAAGGTACCAAGAACCCCTGGACGGTCAGTGTAGATAACCATGTTAATGATGTTACTGGTATACTCCTCATGCTGGGATGCAGATACGCCGGTCTGTCTTCGGGCGTCATGTTTAAAACCTCAGTTTTACGACGATTTTTAAGTCATCACTATGTTGGCATACATACTCACAGTGGTACTTTTGGAACTTTCCAATAAAGTACGTTGCCCCTTCTTGCTTTCCACTCAGCGAAAGCCTTGAGAGCAAGCGGTTTTCGAATACTTCCACTTCTCCGAGAAAATAAAGTAGAGGGAATTGTAGGAAAGAACCTTACAAACGCGTAATGGTGCAGACTAGAAAGTCTTTAAATTTCGCGACAGATGTATGTTGTGGGGGAAGAACTGCTTTGTTGGTTTCTCAGGTCGCTTTGCCCCACAACAAATAATTATTTGTATTTCTGGTTCGTGTCCTCAATTATCCCCAGTGCGCGCTAGTCGAGTAATTATACTGCCAGCAAATATTGCTAAATTTGGCGACTAGCAGACAGCGTAGATACCACCAGGCGTTAATTCTTAGGTCAGCTAACGTTGTTCCGTCGTACAGTATTAACCAACTGCAGACCCACTCTTTGTGTCGTCGATTATCTCAAACTTGGATAATATAACTTTTATGATACACTTGCAGTATGCGCGACACGAACGAATACACTTAAAACGCAAGAATATGACACGCATTAAAAAATATTAGAAGGAAGGCAATGATGACTGGTCGTTTCGTCGCGCGTAGTGCTACTCATTCGTCGTCGTCGACCCACAGTCTCCGTCGTCGAACCTTGGAATGATAAAAAAGGATGGGGGATAAGCGCCGCCGCCTTCGTACATCTGTCGGCCCAGCATATTCCTTTGTTGAAGACGAAAGTGCATGAGGAGGACAGTACCGCGCGGAAAGAACTGAAGCATAAAAAAGAAGTAAACACCCACATGTTTGTCAAAAGATAACTAGAAAAATACAAATTTTCTAAAATTATTGCGAAGTCGAGATTTAGCAGTGTAGAAGAATTTCTAGAAGTTCTTAAACACTCTGAAATTCGCTCTCTCGTGCTTTATCAGTTTGCAATGAATATTTCCAGTTATGCGTTTAATTACGAGTTTAAACCTTTTTTGAGAAATTATGTAGTCTGTGTTAGATTAAGCTATGGCTGCATTATTCAGCATTCCGGGCAAATACAAGTCGTCCGTGGGAGCATTCTAATAACATCACTAACATGAGATACCCACACTGACTGTCCTGATGCTCCTGATATTCGTGGAACAAATTGTTTAAGTCGAAAACCTGTAGGCAAAAAAAAACATATTACTTTTCGCAATACCTTTTGCTACACTTTTGTACCTTAACTTCGATGCAATTACTGTACAAAACATAAATTACTTTCTTTTCGACAGTATCAAATCCAGTATTCCCCCCTCCCTCTCCCTCTCCTTCCCGCCCTCTTTTATTCCCAGCATTTTTCATCCTTCGTTGGTGGGCCATTTCCTTCGATTTTTTCAATCTTTCCTTTATTCCTAAACATAAAGATGTGCGGAGACGCCCAGCTGTGCGCTCATTTCTTATTCTCCTGGGCAAACAGGTTCAGTGATGTCCCTATCTTCTTCGGCACAATGTCCTCACCGGGGTTCTTCTGGCTCAGTTCCAGTTCGATCCGACTGATTACGGGAAGTCGCCTGCGGCTAAAATCCTTCAAATAACAGCCCGACTATGGAGTACTCTATATGCACTTCGATGAAGAGTTCTGTCTAAGGTCATGCTCTGCAGGCCAATTGTTGGTTGATAAAGATGCTCTATTCCACACGAACTGCTCCGCTTTGTTTAATTTCAAGTGTTTTATACATTTGAACAGTTACAGTAAACCTGTCTGCTTCAAAAACCATACTGCACCACGTCACGGTCAACAACCTCACAACATTTACTCAATTTTTTTTATGTTCTAGCTCTGAAATTTTGCTTCGTAGGACCCATGCGTTCACGCACCTCTGAAGCTGTTTTATTGTGACGCGCTTCTGCACCCTCGAAGGCACTTTTGGTTTTCGCATCTTGTGAAGCGCTTTCGCAGGAGGCTGTACTGACGGTTTCCACTCCCAATTGCATCCAATGCTCTGTCGATGTTTATAGCTAAAGGATAAAACACAGACTACAAACTAACTTACCTGATTTTTTCGAACATGTAGTTTTCAAAAAATCTTACTAGATATTTCAAAGTAATGCCCGGCGGAAATTTTCGCACCGTTGTTATCTTGTATTATGGATTGCTGGTGGTCGTTTACTGGAGCAGAATAATGAATTCATGTGCTTTTGCTGTGGACATGAAAGCTATCTATCGAAACTGAGCTGCAATAAGACAAAGCCTCATAAATATTCTGTTTTTATTATTTAGCATTACCAGCAGCATTTCCCCACCTACTTTTGCATCCATGCAAGTAGACAATTATTTAGGTACATGCATACGCGTACATACAGATGTGCGTGTGCATGAATGTACGTATGTACGTGTGTCTGTGTGCGTTTAGGTGTGAATTCATGCATTTGTGTACATTTCTGTATATAATATGGGTTTGTTTTTATTTTTGTACGTGTGTGTATGTTTAAATGTTTATATATGTATGTGTGTATGTATGTGAATGCACGTGTGTATGTGTCCATGTATCTGTGAACGTATATGTGCATAATTTATGAGCGTATACATACATCTTTGTATGTGTGTGTGTGTGTCTGTGTGTGTGTGCGTCTAAATATATCTGTGGTGTGTGTACTTATTCCTTACGGCATAAGGAAACTTCACTTTCACCGCACTCGTTGCATAATTTTTTCTCTTTACCATCATTCGTTTTTGATTCATGCAGCAGCTGTTTCAGAATGAATACACTACAATAAGCCTGATTCACACATCGAAGTGATCAAGCCACTTTTTGTGTTCATTCCCCGATCTTTTTACGTTTGGTACCCCATTAGCGGTGATGACAGCTAGCTGGAGTTATATGGCTCAGGACCGAAGAGCCTGGAATAGCAGCATCCGGTGTACTCGAACATCCCAGTAACATTACTAACATCGGATAGCCACTGGATCGTCTTAGTATTTCTGGTGTACATATTAATTTAATCTTTAATATTGAATGTTGGCTTGACAGTTTTAACGCCAAATATTAATTACCAAATATTAATTACTGAATTATTAGTTTTAAGCCTATTCATTTGTCTGTTTATGCAATTGTTTATTTGTTCGTACATACATACATATTCAGTTGCAATGTTTTTGGAAATTCACTTATGGGCTGAACTTTTATTGATATTTTTCCTAAAGATAACAAAAAGTACATTTTTTGGATTGACTGACTAAAAAATTGCACAGTCTCAGCATATAATAAGAGGCTATGCATGTACGTATGAATGTCTGCACTTCTGCATCTGGATGTGCCAATAAAATGCTATGGCTATTCGGGCAATCAGTTTGGGGTATCCCAGGTTGCCGTGATGATTCCACACGCCGGACAGAGTTCGCCGGCTCTTCAGTCCTGGGCTGCACACCTCAAGTTAGCACTCACTACCTTTTCGATATGCATTTTTGTACATACACGCATCGATAAATCCAAAAGTAAATGGATTTTTTTTTTTTGGTTTTGTATGTTTGTGTGTATGCTTGTGTCTATTTATAATGTGGATGTGTATGTACGTAGGTATGTATGTGCGTACTTGTATGTCTTCATGTATGGTATTAAGGTCGGTATGTATGTAATGAAAAAGTGATCGTGTTAGGCTGAACTTTGCTCATAGTGCTCCCTAGTCCTCCAGTTCATATACACATTTGTGTGTGTCGGTGTGTCTTTGGACTGTTCATGGACGTATGTGTATGGATGTGGTTGTGGCATAGAAAATTCTCTCCTTAAACTCTCATTGCTGTTCCGGCATCGTTCATTTCCATTTGCTTAGCAGTCCTCGATAAGAAAACCTTTTTTCTCTCCAGACTTAAAATGACTGCGAAATATTTGTTGAAAACGATGCTCTTGCAACTGCATTGTGGCTCGTCTTTCCTTAAATCCTGCACCTGCCGATTTTTCGTGGCTTCATATATATCTTCCCACCAGTACTTGCTTCTTTCGCAGCTTCAATTGCTTATGCTTATTTTTTCTAAATATTTCAAAACGCGCCATTAAAATTGTTAAAAACTTGTTGTGACTGTGTTCGCAATATTTTGAGTTTCTCGCACCTTGCTGTGTTTGTATTTACAGCTAAAGGATGAAATACGAACCGCTCTCAATTATATCCATCGGTACATATGGTGTTTAGATCCGTCATCTCTGATTTTAGTATTTCCTTTCCTGATTGCTACTGCATGTTGCATCCTGTAAAACCAATCTGATCAGAAAATCCTA